ATGTCACTGGAGCTTGGTGATGCAATCACTGAATTTCAGAGGTTTGCACTCACTCGATTTCACTATCGTTAATCTTTAATGATTGAGATAAATACCTGAAAATCAGTGACATATCCCTGAAAATCAAACACTTTTCACCTTGCGATCTTTCTGTGAATCAAGAATTTTTTTTTATGCAGAATGGAGAAAAATTTGATTCAATAGTTGGCATTAGCAAAAATGTACCTTGGGAGATTGAGCCGAATTTTTGGGGAACACGTGGGAAAAAATCTGTGCAAACTTATCTCTAAATTTCTCAGGCGAAATTCCTAGTATAGTTCTAGAAAATTTTTGTCAAGTTACAGTTTCAAGGAAAATTAAAGACTTTTACCATTAAAAATTCATTATTTGATGGAAAAATCAGTGAAAACTGTCAATATCAGTTCATGTATTTTATGAAAATTAATAAAAAATCAGAAAAATCCAGGTACATTTTCATAAATTACTAATTGATTAGAAATTTAAGTTCGTTAGCGAATTATTCTCTTTTTGCTGAAAATCACTACTAATCTCTCCATGAAATTGCAATTGTTTTGCAACACTACGAAATGCTGTACTTATATGAACAATATTTTTTCGATATTTCCACCAATCTTCGAATTTTCACTAGATTAATCGTATTTTGTTCTAGAATGCAATTCAACACTACAATAAAATTCAGAAACGAATACCTTTAGCAGCCGCGATTACCAATTTTTTGGGTCTTATTTCCAAACTTAAAAGACATGAATTCGAATTTTAAAAAATATTGCCAACCCCCTCTCATAAAGGATATCATCCAAATAAGTTCATTCGATTCACAACAACAGGAGAATAATAAATATCCACGTAAATTTATAATATCACGTCTCCATTAAAAAAAGAAAAACGAAATTGCCATCCGATATATATTTACTTCTCCATGTTTTACCATTTTATTCGTATTCTCCGAGAATCAAAAAGTCATATTCCGGTGTCAGTCCATTCGTAACATCGGAAGATTTTCCAGTTGGTTTGAGAGCCCGTGGGTGTACACCGTCACTTCCTCTGGTTTTACGAGTAAACCCTTGGATTTTACATGCCAATTCCTCGCAGAGTACGTAAGGCATGCGGTGAGACGACCACACAAGCCATTGGAAAACGCATTTGCCATATGCTTTCTACATGTGTATATAGCCCTTTCAGTCAATTCCCCCCCCGTAAGAACCACCCCCCATACATATGCTGATACATGGTTTTGAGTTGTGTCTGTGTATCCAGGAAACTGGACTACGATGTACCCACTGCTCTAGCTGCACGCATGTTGGTGCATGTGGCATGAATATTTCCTTAACAACTCCGGGTGTATATTCCTCTTTCTCCCACTGACTCCTTATATCCTATCTCGTACAGTGGCGCACATCAAAAATATAACTCCTCTCTTCGCCCTTTTTTTCACTTCCCCTTCTCCTCAATCCACCTTTATTTTTAATACTCCATCAAGTCACCCAGCATTACAGTACCACATTATCATGGTCAACGAGTAACAGAGTCATGAAAATTTTATGCAACTCCACATTATTGTATCCCTGGAAATTTTATCTTTTGTTAATAATTCAGATGTGTTATTCACCCAGAACGAACTTTATCGACAATTTTTTAGTCATATTTTCGGTTATATTTCTTTTTCTGGAATGGTATTTATTCGTGGCAGAGATGGCGATCGTTTGCATCAATCTTCATCAGTCACTCAATTTTTTTATTATTTAGAGAATATTGATGAATAATTACTGAAAGATTTTGAGTAATCGTAAAAGGAAATTGAGTTCTGGGTCTTTTTTATTCAATAGGGAGGGAAAATGCTGAATAAATGATTAATTTCCTCTGCTTGCTTTTCAATCCACCCGAAAATGGTGAAATTCATTCAGAATTCCATAAAAAGTTAGGCCAGACATTCCAAATAAGTATTTCCTTCAAAGAAATTCGACAGAAATTCTTGTGTAACGGTGATTGATTTTTTTTCCCGGACACCAATTCCGATCGAGAATTCCAATTCTCCACTAATTTCGATTAGGAGCCTATTCTTCACATTACAAAACACAAAATTTCCTCGTGAGTTAACATTTTTTTCTCAATAACCAGAACTGGAAATCGAGAATAGGAATTTAATTATCATTTTTTATGATTCAGGAAAAATTTCAAAACGAATGCGGAAAATTTTACTTTATGGAAAAATTCTCTAGAAAAACTTTAGTGCTGATACGGAAAAAAAGCGCAATGTGATAACCAGGAAAAAATTCCAGGGCCGGTACTAAAATTTTTATTGACTAGCACGCGAGTGTTTTCCGTTCTTATATGACATTTTCACAGAAGTCCCTAGAAATTTTACCTCAACAGCACTAGAATTTTTCTAAAGAATTTCTCAGCGTGCGGGCGCTATTACTTTACCTGACGAAATCTAAATTTTTTTACTGAATAACAATCCGTTTCACAATTACCTTCTGAACGTTAAAATTTCCGGTTTTTCCCTTGAATTCTCTCTCCGCGCTTTTCTTTCTCTTATTCTCGAATTGAATAGTATCTCAATGCCTTAATTTTATAATCGACGACTTTTTATGCTTCTGCGGTCAATTAACCTTCCAAATTCACTAGCTAAAGTTATAAAGAAATAAAGTTCAATGCTCGATTCCCAGGATAAACTTCAAATAAAAGACCTCTAACATTTGAAATTAGTCTAGAAATCTCCTCGACCTCGCGCCATAGTAGATCTCAACGTTAATCGAACCCTCAAGGAGGTGTATGAGGTCGTGACCCGTTGAGAAGAGGCAAAAGGTCTTTGGTTGATTTAAAGACGCAGCGGTAACTCCTTTCATTACCTCCCTCAGTGAAATAAAGAGGAAATTTTTTTTTCGAGGCGCAGGAAACGCCACCGGGGTGAAAACTGAGAAAAGTGTGATTCCCCCCTTGCTATTAGTCCCCCCACGTGACTCGCATTTATCATAGTTTGAGGAAGATAAGAGGGTGGCAGACATCTTTCAGGGTGTGAAAGTTTGCCGCGACGTTCTTATATTCCTCATGAGCTTAGATTCCCCACAACTTGAGGGACTCGTAATTATCGTAAAATCACGTCGTATCGTAAATCGAGGATAACGATCATCCATGTCGTGTTATGTGCATTAGAGGGAGTTTGTTGGTATATAAGACGTGATATACACGGAAAGAATGAACTTTGTTGGATTAGAGACAAATGATCGCCATCTTTCAATTTTCGTATTTTTGTTTTTCAGATGATTCGCGATTACGATCTGAATAATTATGCAGATGCATTGAAAAATCATAAATTCACTGAAAATCACGATTCAAGTAGATCCGGGCTCCGTTCTAGTATACAGGGTGACGTCAGTCCCCTCAGACAAAAAAAAACCTAAACGTAAATTCAGAGCGAAGCGGTAAAACCGTTGAAGTCGGCTTAGCCCTTAGCAGAGTTTTTGAGGCATATCTATGAATGTAAGGGAGATAACGAAATTTTCATAATTACCTTTTCTGTAGAGTGAACTGAGGACTATAAAATAGATATTGACAACAATTTTGCTATCTCCCTTAGATTTCGAGATATTCATGGAAAATGGACATGCCCACTGAAATTTCAAGAATTTTGTCATTGAAAATTGATAATTTCATGGAAAAATTTGTGGGAACTGTAAATTTCAGAGAAATTTATCCTTGAATTTCTGATTCTTCTGAATTTTCAGGGAACTCCTTCAAAAATTCCCGGAATTCCCGAAAAATTCAAGGGAATTTGGCAGCGAATATTCATTTTCACTTAAAAATTCATGTAAATTGTGGAATTTCTGTTCCTGTCGCTAAAAAAATTGTAACTCCACTTGAAATTTCATTGACTTTTCCCCCTTAAATCATGTTCAAGGTCTTTTTCGGAAAATTCAGTCAAATTTTTTCAACAGTGTATTATCAGAATTGAATAGTTTTTCTCCCGTTGAATTCCGGATTCTGTATTCTATATCCTCCTGAAATTTGTAAACAAGGTTCTGCCGTCACCCCATATATTCTACTTATCTGAAGCAGGATGGCTATAACCGAATAAATCCAACTTTAGGACTAGTAGTCAACTTGAATTGAGTCACGAAATCTACTTGAATAATAATGATTCATTACTTTTTTTATTTTCATTCATTTACACTTTACACCTTACACTTTAACTCTGATATTTCTCATTCAAATCCCTTCATCAAAAGGTCAAATTAGTATTTATAAATTCCAAAGGAATTCATACGGCAATTCACCAATAACGACTGTGTACTTTGGTAGAGATCCAGCAAACGAAGTGGTCGTACAAGAATCAGCCTGTCCCCGAATCCTCAAATCGTTGATTATTCATTTAATCACGAATGCAATTATTACACAAGCGCTTAAACACCGGACCGTCGGTTGACTATACATACAATTATGCATGTATATTCATGAACTCATAAAATTAAGCGACCGAAAGTGTCATTCCAATAGCGAAAACAGAGAGGAAAATGGGTATACGACAGCTTCGTTTGTGGGCTCAATTTCAATTCCTCAATTTAATTTAATTTTTCTTCTCAATTCTCTGTTTTAATAGATGCAAGAGGAGATAAAAATAACTGAGACGGTGGTGAAGAGCAAAGGGACATTGGAGGGAACTGGAGTTGATACAAATTCGTTAATTAGACTTTCGTGATCTGCTACTTAATTTACATTTTCATTCGTCTATTCAGTGAAAATGCAGATACGTTTCTCTTCCCTCCAACAGTTCCACTTCATGACCCTTTTTGGTTGTGTAACCTCTTTACTACGGATATATATCCTCTCTCTCTGGGGTGGGCGCCATATTCAAAGTGAACCCACCTTTCCTCAGCCCTATTACCCAGAGATAAGGGAGAAGAAAATAATTACCAACTCACAAACTAACGCAAACGAAATTTTCTCTCTGTCACGTTACCAACTCGTGATTAATGCAGGACTTTACGCTGGATTTCTACTTCCGGCAATTTTGGACTGATCCAAGACTGGCATTCACGAAGAGGCCGGGGGTGGAGACACTCAGCGTTGGATCTGAACTTATTAAAAATATATGGGTACCAGATACGTTTTTCGTCAATGAGAAGCAGTCTTACTTTCACATTGCCACCACCAGCAACGAGTTCATACGAATACACCACTCGGGAAGCATAACACGAAGTATACGGTGAGTTTTCATTATTGATTATTATTCATTCTATTTCAATTTTTGGAGTTTCAAGGCAAACACTGTCATTCCTATGGTGATCTTCATGTATTAGATTACACTCGACATTTAAAGATTTAATTTTTCGCCGATGGGGGAATTTCGTTCTGATGATGAGAACATTTACTGAGGTTAAATCATTTTTGCGAGGCATGCAGCAAATTCTATCCTTCCAGTATAATGATTTTTATCCAGGTATGAATAGAAATTGTAGGTATACACGGAGAGAAATGTTCAGTAAAAATTACGGAACTCTCACTTCACTCACCGATTACGGAATCGACTCAGAAAATTTAAGTGACGGTATCGTAATTTTTCACAAAAGATTCAGATAAAAATTACGGAACGCTGCGAAAAAATTCCGTGACAGTTCCGTAAAATTTCCTACAACCACATTTCGCTCCGGAATTATGGAAAAGATACATAATTTTTATTGAATATTTCTCTCCGTGTATGATAAGTGAATTCCATCCTGACGGTCTACATGAAAACTGACGTACTGTACAGTATCCTACGACACATTTTGGGTATTTGCTACACGGAGAAAATTATTTGGTGAATTTTAACAACTAGTTGATGAAATTTAACAACTAATTAATTCAAATTCAGAAAAAAATTTTCAATTTCATTCAATCTATTTCAGAAACAATCCCGCAATGATTTATATCTTTACAATCGATCAATGTCTCCCCTAGAAGATATTTTCGCAATAATTTGTAATTCCTTGTTAAATTTGATCCATCAAATAAATCAACGAAGGTTTATTGAAAATTTAACAAATGGTTGTCGAATGAAATTGAAGAATCTTTTTCTGAATTTTAATGAAATAGTTGTTGAATTTCAACAACTAGTTGGTAAAAGTCACCAAATAATTTTCTCCGTGTATAGTTTCGGAGTGAGAAACTGAAGCTACAGACACTGAGGGATTTAAAACCGCAGGAAATATTCAAGTGTTACGATTTGATATGGAACTCACAAATCGAGTTAAGGGACCTATGACATTGTTATAAATTGAACAATTTAACTATTAATTTTGAATAATTAATAAATTCTTGGGAAAATTAATAAATATTTCATTTTGAAATGGAGCAATGAGTATCATTCAATTATTCCTCTGCGAAATATCAATTTGATTGTAATTTCCATGGAAAGTTCAAAATTCGACCTATACAATGCGAATTGAAGTATACTAAAATTCCCGGGACTCTTTTATTTACAACGTGGGATGTAATAAATCGCTCTGGCGTTGAGAGGCTTCTGGATGAACATCGAATTCTATAAATTTATTCTCGTCAAATATTCAGTTTGATTTAATCATTCATAATAATGTGGATGGAATTTCACACGACTGGGGGTGGATGAAAGCTTTCAGGAGAGAAACATTTTTTATATTAATTATTGTATCCACAGCGTCAGTGACGCTTCCCATGAATACATCCAAGGGATCAGGATTTTCCACAATGTTCCTTCTTTCGTGTAAATTGATCGGATTAATAATCACAAATATTGTGAAATTCAGGGGTTTTCATTTTATCTTTCATTTCATCGGGGTGACAATAGATTCAAACCAAATCGCGAGAACATTCACTGTAAAATATTTTGTTTAGAGTTGCGAATGGATCCAATATCCAATCAGAAATTTTCAATCATTAAATGTTTCTGCGAAAACGCGTAAAGTAAATTTCAAAAATGCGTGGATAATCAGGATTCCATTTACGTTTTAAAATGAATTATTTCTTCTCAAATGTTCCCTTTGTGTAAATGAACTATGGAAATTATTTAAACTTTCAAAAACCTCATCTGCTGCATGAAGTCCACTCAGAAAATTTACAAAATTTACAACAGAATATATACAACTTCCCTAAGATTAAAAAAAAATATAGTGGTGAGTGGAAAGTGGCTTGTTCATATATTATTTATGAAATGAACTTTATTTTCCGAAATTAGAGTTCCGAATTATATTTTTCGCAAAAATACTAATAGAAAATCAAATTGAGATCTTGAAAATTCGAACAATGGAATCATTGCAAAGTTCTATTAACTGGGTTCTCATAGGTCTTGACTGAAAACTCTGATATTCATCTACAAAGGTTCAGAGGGTTTCCATACCAAACTGCCACAGAGACAGCACTCCTGTGCATATTAGGGGATTGCACTGGTCAACACGACGCACGCAATCCTCTACTTCGATTTAAGCTCCCCCCCCCNCTTCGATTTAAGCCCCCCCCCCCCCAATCACAAACACTGTATAATTCTTAACAAAAGGGCTCAAAGCCAGTTGAATTGAATTATGATATCGTCATAATCTGCCGAAATAAAGATTCATAAATGATATTATTTGCAAAAGTGCTAATGGAAAATCAAATTTAGACCTTCAAAATTCGGACAATGGAATCATTGTAAAGTCCTGTGAACTGGGGTTTCGTAGGGCTTGACTAAAAGCTCTGATATTCATCTACAAAGGTTCAGAGGGTTTCTATAACAAACTGCCACAGAGACAGCACTCTTATGCATATTAGGGGATTACACTGGTCAACACGAAGCACCCAATTCTCTATTTCGATTTAAGCTTCCCCCCCCCCCCCAACTCCAATCGCAAACGCAGTATAATTCTTAACAAAAGGGCTCAAAGCCAGTGGAATTGAATATGAAATTGAAGAGGGATCAGAAATAGCCCACCTTCAATTTCATGCTACTCCTACTTACGGTTGTACCGGGTGTATGTACTCCCTTTTCGACCCATTTGGGAAATCCGATCAATTAGCCCCTGATGTAGGGGTATTCCAAATTTTTATTTTTTTCCTCATTGAAGTAGTTTTGAAGAAAATTGCGAGTTAATAAAAAACATTTGCTAGTTAGTACTTTTTTTTAAATAAATTTTTGAAAAATCACCTCTGAAAAAAAAGGCGTTATCCCCTCTATTTCATCATTTCCAAAAAATTTTATGACCAATCGATAGCAAATTGTTGGAAGATTTTTGCGAGTTAAGAAAAAATCGTCAATGCAATCCTATTATTGTGTAAAATAACAATTCCAATTTCAACTGAAAACCAGAGTTGATGACCAGAGTTTGTAACAGAGATGTCAGACAAGATATGAATGTTTTTTTTGGCTCAAATGAAAGAGCGG